GAGCCCCTGAAGGCCTCCCTCTGAAGGGCCTGGTGCGGGGTGAAGAAGCCAGAGCTGTCGAGCTGAGCGCAGAGAAGACAGCTGTTTACACTCAAGATGGGCACCATCCCCTCAGCAACCTGTGTCACCTCCTCCCTGGAACCATGCAACCAGGTCTGGCGGAACGGCGGCCGGTCTCACTGTATGTGTGGAAGTTGAGGACCTGGCCTCTGGCAACTAGGATGGTGCTCTGGGAATTGCAGATGGGAACAATGTGGCACTGACAGGAAGACAGACACACGGAAAGGATGGAAGACCACCCCAACCTCTCAGTTCCACTCAACTCACTCTAAACCAAGGGAATGGAAGTGGGAGAGGGATGAGTTTGCCAAGTGGTCCTGGAAGAGCTGAGCATACCTGCGGTTGAAAGTCAACGAGCCCGTCACGCCCACACACCCTCACTACAGTCATGCTATACTCCACAGCTAAACTGTGACACTCCTAGAGGAAAACAGATGAAATTCTTTCTGACCTTGAGTTCAGCAAAAGTCCATCAATGTAACACCAAAATCGAAGTCTACTGAGAAAAACTGACAAACGGGCTTTATTAAAATACCTGATTCCCGGAAGACATGCACAAAGTGTTTCCACATCACATGTCGTACCCATGTCGTACTCACTAAGAACTACAGAGCTAGAGTCTAAGAAAAAAGACGCAGGTGACATTGGGCTAATGATCACCACAAGTTCTTCACCCAGCGGGTACGGATGGCACATGAGCACAGAAAGCTGCAGGACGGCCTGGGCAGGCTGGAAACAGAGCCCCACGCCACGGAAGGCTGCACTAGAGGGAAGCCTGAGGTCAGCGTGGCCAGTGGGAGGCCGAGGAGTGCGCACACCCCCCAAAAATCAGCCGGCTCTCTTCACGAGATACATCAGGATGGTGCTACACAGTGGCACACAGTCAGGCTGGGGCACGAAGTTTATGAGTTCAAGGACAGCCTGGGCCACAGAGCAAGATCTGGAATAAAGAAAGGTTTCATAAACACCCATCACTCAACCAGCGCCAGTGCCCGCTCCCACCCAGGGGAAGGAAAACACATGCTCTCCTAACGTGGTGGAGGGAGGGTGCTCTCCCCAAGAGCAGTCCTCCCCGAGGAGCTGGCTGTGGGGACAGAGTCTCAGTGCTGAAAACTCACCTTTGAATGTTCATGTCCCCACAGGAGAAGGAGAGCGGCACGAGCACCTCTATGTCTACACCCGGGTGAGTCAGAGCTTACTGGAGTCAGCCACAGCCCAAGACGCCAGGGCTCTCTACACGTCAGGGTAGATGGAGACACGCATCCACGATGAGACGTGTCTGGTGCGGGGAAGCACTACACTTCACCACAGAAGGTCCTCCTGCAGCCTCCCTGTGGGCTCCGTGCTGCCGCAGAAACACCTGCTCACTTCCACTGCACCACGGGTCCCCGCGGTCTACCCCACCGCCACACCTTTTGCTCCTTCATGGATAACATGTTCAAGCTGGCGACTCTGTGGGCCCATTTTCTGGGTGGGTCCTGGGGTTCTGGTGGCCTCCTCATCTCCTCCCATTTCAGACCTTCCAGGAAGAGCCATCTGCCCTCTGGCCTAGCACCACTGTGTCCCTGGGGCTGGGCACGCTCTTAGCTGGGTGTCCTCCCCTGCAGGCCTAATCTTTCTGGGTCCGGGCTCACGGGGACCTCCCTTCATGTTTTACCAACAGTGTCTTTTGATAACCTGGGCTTTATCTGCCATGGTTCTCAACTCTTCCAGCTTCTATCCATTACCCAATTCCAAAGCCATTTCCATGTTTATAGGTGGTTGTTAGAGCAGTCCCCACCCCACCCATTTCCTTGTATCAAAATATGTATCACGTTGCTAAGGCTGCAGTCACAAAGTACCACCCACAGTGTGGCTTAAAGCAGCGGGTAGGTAGGGCTCAACCTCTGAGACCGGAAGCTCGGTTCCTTCTGAGGGTCTGAGGGAAGGCTGCACCAGAGAACATGTACACTTCCCCGACCCTGCACCTCAAGGCCCCTCAGGGCCCTGTTCTCCTGTGTCTTCACACCATCTTCTCTCTGTATGTGATGTCTCTGTGTCAAATCTGTCTTTCATAGACCACCAGTCATGCTGGATTAGGGCCAACCCTAATGACCTAATTCCATCTTGATACCTCTGTTCACCCTGTCTCCAAATAGGGCACATTTGGGATACTGAGGGTTAGACTCCAACACACCATTTCACACAAGGCAGGACTCAGTCTGTAATAGTGAGTATGTCACATGCTCCATGCTTCCTGGTGTCTTTCCCTCAGGGCACAAGTCTGTATGTATTATGCTTATAATTTTAAAAAGCTATGTTAAAAACAGTTTTCATCTGTTTTAAACATTTAAGTGTTTGGATATGGCATTCCTAACCTGTAAAAACAACAAATTTCATCTAGAATTAATATAATTTTAAATAAAATAAACTCATTTATTCAAATCCTCACAGACGAGTACACAGACACAACACACATGCATGCATGCATTCACACACACACACACACACACACACCCTTGCTCACAGCCCTCACCTCTCAGCTAGAGTCCCCTCCACCCTCCCGCAGGCCCTCCCCCAGCTCACTGGGGAACCGACTGCTGAGCAGGCTGGGAGCACTGGCTCTGGCCCCTCAGGGAAGCACCCTGCACACAGCAGCCCGGCCCTGCTCTGCGTCCCTCCATCCAGTGCCATGCCGGCCATAGCTCATGGGGGGACTCTGCCACCACAAGAGAAGGTTCTTCTACTGATGGTGGAGCCAAGGCCTTGCCAGGGAGGGGACCAAGGGGCAGCAGCCCAGAGACAGGGACAGAGAGGGAGGACAGGTGAGGGAGGGTGCTCTCCTGCCTGGCAGAGGGAAGACCCACGCACGAGTTTCTGTGAGCTGCTCCAGCACCTTCTGGAGGCCCCGAGGCCCAGAGTGATTAAAACATGTGCCAGCATTTCAGGTCTCCCCACCATGAGTCAGAGCACCCAGCTGGGTCCCTTCTTCCCACCCAGTCGCCCTGGATCACAGACGGACATTTACTTGGGGGGGGCCAGTGCCTGATTCTTAATTGTATCCATAACACACACTCGTGAACACCAAGCACAGCAGTGGTGTGTAAGGACCCTCCCCTTCCTTCCTGATGCCACTCAGCACCGAGGGTGGGGGCAGCCACAGGTGTCCTCCTGTATGGAACACATAGTCACTCACACTGAGAGATCAAATTACACACAGGCATTCATCTGTACCTTCCTTTTTTGTTTTCTCCAAAATATAACATGGATAACTTTCTAGTTACTTATGGACACATTTTTTTTCTCATTAGGAACATCCACACTTCCATGGTATGAATACATTTTGATCCAATCACCCATTCTCTTGATGGACAGAGTTGATGGCTATGCTTGGCTTTTGAGAAGA